AGGGCCTTGAAAGAGGGGACAGCTGGGCCTCTGAAACGTCAGGCAGCTGAATGCTCTCGGGAAGTGGACGCGGCTCGCAACCACCCTCTCCCTCGGTGTTCACCGCTGCTGGCCACCGAGGTGTTACATCCAAAAGGTCACCGAGATAAAGTCGTGCCAGAGTTGACCACCCAAAAAGGAGCTGTCTGAACAGGTCCCAGGCAACTAACTAGGCAGCTGCATTTGTCATCCCCTGTCCCCAAAGTCCCCCGTGGATGAGGGTCGAGGAAAGGGAGCCCTTCCGAGGCCTGCTCTGTTCCTGGTTTGGTCTGTTGGCCTCCAGCCAGGAGAGAGCTCATTCTTCTCCAGCAAAATGGAAGAGACTGCCAAGCCTCACAGAGAGCAGAGAGCCAGGCCCTGTTTCCCTCTTATAAACTTCATGATGCGTCTCAGAAAAGGGGTGAAGCTCGGGGCAGAGTGTCACCTTCCCCTCTCAGTGTCCGGTGTGGTCATAGAGACCAAAAAAACACATGAACAAATGTGAACCGGGGGATTACAGAACTGTTCATCTTGGGGCACGTGGGCAAGGATGACATTTTTATTGTCCTGGTGAGAATCTGCGGCCAGCTTTTATACCTCTGTGCCCGAGAGTGTGTGCGAGGGAGCCGTTCACAGCAAAAGCTTTTAGCATGGAGAGAAAGTGGAGCTAATTTCGATATGGACTGCCTCTTATAGGAAGGCTGCTAATAAGACAAATTGATTTAGCTTTAAGAAATTACCCTTAATTTCTCAGGATAAGGAATTACTGGAATAGCCAAAGTCCTCTCCCCAGAGAAGAGATTCATTTCTGATGCCAGGAATTCAGGGATAACTGGGTTAGATACTTAGGTAAACAGAAAAACGAGACGGGGGAGATCAAGTAAATTGGAAATTCTGGACAATTACTCGAAATCTTCCATCACTAATGGGAACAAAATTGAATTTGACTAGAGGTACTTGTTAAATTAGAAGTAACATGAGATTCCTGCAACGGGAGGTCCCCTCTGCAGAAAGGAGCAGGAGGGCTCTGAGCAACCCCGGCTTCCTGGTCCCTCCTTCCCCGGCTGGTACAGCAGCCCAGAGAGGAGAATCCGTGGGGTGTTTCCGTCCGGGTCAGGTCCCTCCTCTCTGGCTCATCCTGCGGCCACGCAGACTCTGGCTCTCCACTTGGTGAGGGTTACCTGGTTCTCCCCTGGTGCACAGAGTCACCAGGGGCTCCCTGACATGCTTCAGATCTCCTCCTCTCCTTCTGCCTCAGCCCTGGCTGCTTCTCACCCGAAGTCCTTATGAATCTTTCTCCTAGCCGATCTTCCTATGTAGTCCCAGCTCTTGCGGTCTAAAAAAAAAAAACCTCTCATTTTTGCTGCAATCGGTGGCCAATAGGCCCACTGAATCTACTTAAAATGAACACCAAAATTTCATAGTAAACAATGAAAAACAAAAATTGTGGCTGAGACTTCATCCTGATCAATAAAATACAAAATGATGATAGTAAGTATATTCACACACACACACACATATATAATATATACATATGCATGTTTGTAGTGATGCATATATATTGACATGTTTATATAGTATGAGAGAGAGATATGCAATATATATATACTCACACACAAAACTCAGGTTACACTGTAACTCGGTGCAACTTCTGATTACCTCAAATGAACCAAGTGCTTGGTTTTTGCCATCATTTTCCCCACCAAACTGTCAAAAGCATTACACAATATGTTTGGATTTTGCAGTCCAAAGGTCTTTGACAGAGAACTGGGCAGAAACATTCAAGGACCTGATGGGTCTGGCAGGGGGTCTCTCCCATGCTTAGATATTCAGTCTCTGACTCCGGACGACCCCCTGAGGAAATCGCCCTGTTTGAGAACTGCTGGTGCAGCGTCAGTTGCTTGGGGGTAGGGATGGCCTGGAATAGGTGATCGTGGCTGTTTGCTGAATGAAAAAAAATGAAGAGAACAGAGGCAAAAAGGTCAGAAAGGAGAAAGAATACGTTCTCTGAATCCAGAAGAAGTACAGGGAGTGTCAGTGAGAATACAAGACTCTTTAAGGAGCCGAGGAAGAAAGTTGAATTCCGCAGTGAATTCAGAGATAAAGGTCACTGCTGAGAGGTTCGGAGGAAAGGCTGGGTTTGGAGTTTGAAGACGGTGGGTGAGAGTCAAAAGCAGCCACAAAGCTGGGGAATAGAGCCCACAGTCAGACATGTCCGCTACTAGAATCCAAAAGGTGGCAGGCATCTTACTGTTTTCCATTCACAGTCCTTAGCATATATCAGGAAAAAAATACTGATTTTCTGTGGACAGAAAAAGTTTTATTTAAAGTGTATTTGTAAGAAACTGATCTAAAAAGGTTAAGTAATAATAGAACGGGCAGTAGCAAGTTGCATGTCGATTTTGGACCAAATGCCGAAAAAAAAGGGGGAGGCGGGGCCCCGGCTGACGCAGGAGCTCAGGGCTTGCTGCGCTTCTCCTGCGAGGCCTGATCCTGGTCGCACTCACTGGGGCCCTCTGCCCCTGGTGCTGCCGAGTGTGACCTCACTTGCCAACCCCTGGTCTCCCCACTTCCGCCAAAGGTTTCCCTGTGGTTCAGGGAGATGCTCCGCCCACTGTCCCGCACACAAGGGCCGCAGGTCAGTCTACACACCTAGACTCATTCTAAATATCTTCTAGCTACTCCTTGATTGGATTTTGGCTCCTCAGCCAGATGCAAAGGTCCTCGCAGGTAGGAGCCACCCCTGCATTCTTCCCTCTGTGTCCCCAGGAAAGGGCGTGGAGATCTGGGGAACGTGAGTCATCCCAAGAACAAGGGCCACCAGAGCCAGTCACCTACTCAATTCCCAGTTAATGACCTGATAATGACTTCCCCCTTCCTGTGGGAGGGATTTCAGTGATACGGATGTGTTGGCATCTAAAAACCATTCATTCGATTCCTTTGGGTGTTTCCAAATGAGTCTCTAGGAGATAATGTAGGTAAAGGTCTTGCTCTCCAAGTTCAAGTACCAGGTGATAGTGTATCCACTTGGGGACACCCGGAAAAGATGCTCAGGGCCTAGATCTCCACCGCTCGGTGCCCCCACCTCCATTCCCCCGGATCCAGGAAGTAAAATGGACTGATAGAGTATGGATGGAAGAGAGATGTCATTTAATTTCCGTGACTTAAAAACAAAAAAACAAATCTTGAAGTGGGGTGGGGGCGTGAGGGAGGAGGAACAGGCAGAATAACATTCTTCACAATAAACAGAAGGGGATTCCCGGGTGGTGCAGGCTTCTGGGAGGCCCAGGAATAGCAGGTACAGGCTGTTCTGTGCTCGTGGTTTCTGAACCGGGGTTTTAACACCCAGCAATATGAACTTCGAGTCTTACTCAAGGCTGAAGCGTGATCAGCAAGCCTTAAAGCATCACCTCACCCATCACCACCAAGAATTCACTCTAAATACTGTAGGGTTTAGTGGACAGACCTCCTGGCCCTGGTCACAGGATAAGCCCTCCCTCCCCTGGGCCCCCTCCAGCCCCACCACAGCCCACAACCTTGCACCCTCAACAGAAAACCCGACCTTTTAAAAGATGGCTATGGAGGAAAATCTTTACATCTGGTTACTTAGAAGCTAGTGAGAGGCACTGCCTCATTTTCTTAGCTCATTTGTTAAAAACAAAAGGCAGGTAAATTTGGGAAGGAGGATACTTTTGAAAAAGTGGTGGAAGTTCTTTATATAGAAAGAAACAGGAAAAAATACATTAGGAAGGAAATAATATGGTTGGGTAGTTGCTAAGTGCCATTTGTGGTGCCTAGGACTTAAAAAACAAAACTCGTCTGTGGATGTAAACCCACGCCACCCATTCCCTCCTGCCCCCTCACGTTTTAGTCATTCACTCATTTATGCAACAAATTAGTATTATGTAGGTACATTATTATGTAGGGATCATCGAACAAGTCTGACGAGAGCCTCACCCTCCAAGGCTGACAGTCTTGTCGAAGTTGAACAGATAAACTAGATGCTTTGAGTAATTCACTCATCCCACAAATAATGATTGATTATTCTGTTTTTCAATAAGTAATCATTGAGCCTTTATTATAGGCAAGGTACTGAGAATCATTTCTCAGCAAGACAGACAAGATCCTTGCCCTCAAGGGCTTAAATTGAGTGGCACTTAAACAGATAAACAAGATGACCTCTGAGAGTGCTAAGTGCTAAGAAAAAGACAAGTGGATGTTGTGATGGAGGAACTAGGTGTTGGGGGATCTGCTGGGGAAGGGTGACAGAGGGAGGCCTCCCTGTGGGCGACATCTGACTTAAACCCAGGCCTGTGAAGCTCTCCCAGCCGTCCATCCGGCTTCCTTGCTTCCTACCTACACCCCTCATTCGGGCATAAATCATACTGTCTGATGTTAGCTTCTCTTTGTCTGTCTCTCATCCAGGGGTCGTCATCTCTGGGAGGGAAGGTGGATCAAGCACAGAGCTGAACGACTAGCGAGCTGGATGACTTTGGAGCCCCTAAAGCCCGGGATGAGAGGAGGTAGGAGCAGTTTTTACTGGGGCACCACGAACATCTGCCCGAGTGAACACTGCAGGCACTGTCCCTGTAATCGCACTGACTGCAGCTGTCAGCAGGCCTAGCAACGCAAAGTGCGCTTGGACGGGGCGGGCATGCACCGAGCAGGGAGGCGAGGCAGGGGCAACCGGGTACACGCTGGGCCTGGCCCAACTCCGCACAGAGGTCAGCTCTCCCCGCGACGCCCGCGAGGGGGCGGGCCAGCGGCCGCGTGCCGCGCCTGCGCAGCACAACGCCCGAGCCGGCAGCGCCAGACGCTGCCCCCGGAACTGCGCCGACGCGGTGCGCCCGGCGCTAAGGGGCGGGGTTTTGTTGCGCCGCGCGCAAGTCTGGGGCCAAATCCGGGCTGGGATAGGGCGCAGGCTAGTGCGTCGGGACGTCCCCGGCGTCGGGCCCGACGGCGCGTGCGTGCTTCGGGGTGGGCCGGGTGCCTAGGGGGCGGGGCGGGGGCCTGTGTGGCCTCTTTGCCTTTTTGCGCCGCCCGGACACCGCGCAGGCCGCCGGCACCATGAAAATCTGGACTTCGGAGCACGTCTTTGAGTACGTTTGGAGCGTGAGGCTGGCTGGTGGGCGCCGCGGGGCAACTGTGGTGCGAAGGAGGGCGGGTGGGACCTGGAGTGGTGGCGAGGTCGAGGTGCCCCTCAGGAAGCTTCCAGACGTCGGGCCTAGTTGGGGAGCTGAGCCTGGGCCCCACGAGGTTCTGGGGCTTTGGCGCCGTCCTGCGCTCCGGGAATGGGTCCCCAGGGGACAGGGCCCCGACCTCCAAGCCCAGCCAACGCCCCGGCCGGTAGGGGGCCAGAGGCGGGGAGTTTGTGGCCTGTCCCCTGGGGTAGTGGGAGTGTCGTGGAGCACGAGGTCCTGGACGACATTCGTGGTGGGAGCGGCCCCTCGTTGGCTCCCCGGGACTTCCGGGACCCGCGGGGTGCGGACCTGAGCATCCCAGAGTAAGTGTGGGCGTTGTCGAGCGCCCCGCCACCTTTTGGGTGGAGGCCCTTACCTCGGAATGTGACTGGTGAGGGCAGGCGACCAGGAAGCGAAACTCCGGCAGCTCTTTGCCTTGAGGAACAGAGAGCCTTGGAAGGGGAGTTCAAGGTTCACCACTGGCTCCAACGGACCGTGTGTCCTCGGGTCACCCGTTTCCACCTGCGACGTGGAGGGCCATGGCCTCAGAAGCCATGCTCAGTGACATCTCTGGCTTAGCACAAATGTGTAGTGGTTGAAGTGAGTGGGCCGCGAGCCAATTGGATGTTGGGAATTGAATTCCCTTCTGGGTCTGTGATGCCATGTGCAGAAGAACTACCCCTGTGATGGGGTCTGTCGTTGCCTAAATAGTTCATCAGTCGCCTTGGTGCTCCTGACTAATTCCTGTTCCTCCCGGATGTGGAATGCCACCCTCTTCCTAGGTGGACCTGATTTATTTATACGTGCATCCATTTCTGAGCTGTCTGTCCTCTTCCCCTGATCTTGTTCTGGCGACCACACCGGTTTAACTTCCATAGCTTTGTCATGTGTTTTAGTCTAACCACTCGATTTTAAAAGAAGTCGTAAGCTTTTTACCAACATGGTGATCTGGACACATTCAAGAGTCCACTGGGTCCCGGAAAGTGCAGGAGATTAGAATCACAGGGAGGCTTTCTTCCTAGTCTATTGTGGCCCTGGGGGAGGGGATCCTAAATTTGTGAGGTGGTCTGCAGCTGGGTCCCATGTCAGCTGTTGGGTTCCAGGTGGTTTCTTCCTTGTGATCCACTCTCATTGCTGGCACTGCTGTCCTGTGGACATTCTCCTCTGTCTTCCCTAACACTGTGCCCTGGCTCGGCCCCAGCCCCTGCCCCATCTCCGCTCTCTCTGCCCTTTTTTCTTCAACCTTTGGCCCTCCTCTTCCCCTTCAGTGCAAGCGTTCAGTGAGGTTCTGTTGCTGGCCTTGTCTAGCATTTTGTCAGTGGTTCGTGATCTTTTCCTTTTTCTCTTTTTGTCACAGACTTCCCTGAGATTTGAGGAAAGCTCTGGGACCCCTGTCCCAGAGGTAGACATTTTCAGATAAAAGCTGTCCATGTCCTGGCGAAGAAGTCCCAGTCCCAACGCTCCCCAGATAACCGGGGTCCCAGCTGATATGTACACACTTAGGGCACTGGGATCTGTACCTCGGGCTCCAACCTGTCTCTGAACTTCAAATCCTTACTACCCGGTCCTATCAGATCTCTACTCAATGTCCCGGGGCTCTTCGGCCTCAGCGTAGCCGAAGTGGAGGTCTCTGCCTCCCCTCAGAAGTCTTAAACACCTCCCTCTCTGCCCCATCTTAAAGCCGTTACTGCCCGACAGAGACATCTAAGTCATTCTGGGGCTTTCTCGTGCTGGTCTGCACACGTCCTCCCGAGGCCTGGTGTGTGGTTAGCATCCAGTCGAAGCCACATGGTGACTCCTTCGGCGGCTCTGCGTGCCCGGGGCCTTGCTCCAGGCTCTGCCACGTGGGTTGGCAGGGAGTCGCTGCCTCGGCGGGGTTAACAGTGTCTCCCGCCTCATGTCCTAGTGCGCTGGCCGGCGCGGTCAGTCGGCCACCAGCAGGCTCTCCAGGCTGCCCTTCGTCCCTGTCTCGGTGTCGTCCAGTGTAAGGTCCTGTCACCGAATTGCACCGATACAGTTCAGGTTAACTGCAGGGAGACCGTCCGTCCTACTAGGCCTCCTGTGTAACGTTTGAGCTCGTTTCATTTCACGAAGAGTCTTAGTTGAAGCCAAGTCGTCTTAGTTGAAGCCAAGTCGACAGCAGCTCTGAGAGAAGGACGCGATCACAAATGTGGCATAATTTCACTTTTTGAGGGGAGGGGGCAGCGCTAGGTGCCAGGAAGCCCGCTGACCATGGAGAGCAACCCCATGGAAATGGAAAAGGGCCCGTTCGCTTCTCTCTCGGATAGTTTCCCTGGGAACATCCAGTGCCCAGTGGGACACTCCTGTTCGGAGGGACTGTTCAGGGTAGTGAAGCCATTTCGCTTGTGTGCCTGCGTTGACTGCTGGAGAAAAGCCTGAGATTAAAACCAGAATGAGGCTTGTTTGTATAACATTGTAGCAAAAATGGAGGCATTACCCCTGCAAAAATGGAGGCATTACCCCTGCGATCACTGTTGTCCAGGGCTCTGGGATGTGAATGGCGTTGAGATTTCCTTCTGTCGACACGCGGCAGTTGTCAAGCTCTGTTCTCTGAACAGTTGTCTCCTGCCCTATGCCGTGTGGTTAACAGGAGCGCTTTTGAGAAGGACGCCTTTGCGCAGCGTCTCATTCGCAGGAGTGCAGGTGAACCAACTCGCGGTGCGCGTTGGAGTGACCCCGGCACGTGTGCCGTTCGGGAGAGCGCGCTGCTGCAAGTTTCGTTTCCGTCCTAGAAAATAAGCAAATGCTCATTATATGAAGGAAGGATATTAGAAAATAGTGTATCGGGAGCATCTTAAAGACATTTTATTTTACTGAGTGATCTTTTCAAAACAAATCGACATCATTCCTTAGAGCAAAGCAATGGGTAAAGAATGGAGGGGGTCCCTGTTACTACCTTGATACAGAGAAAAATAAATTTTCAATGCGATATTTAATGTTTGAATCTCTAATCATTGTACGAATTTACAGTGCATATAAGTTACTGTACTTGTGTTACTTTATAGCTTCACAGAATTAGGATCAGACGAAAGAATGAGTGGTATAATAACATGTTTGCTTTAAGTACATTTGTATGAATTGGGGCCTCAGAAGAGAGTTACGTGTGGATGTGGGTGATGGGGAAGGTTGTTTAGGAAACCGTCCTGTGGCGCTCCGTGGCTCTTTCCGTTTTTATAGAAATTCATTGTACATGTGACCTGTACGCGGAAACACACAGATGTGTGAATGTAGACGGAGCCCTCGAAATCATCGTTCACTCAGTGCGTCAGAAAGTAGTTCTCCCTAGGTAAACTGGGTTGTGAAGAATCATTTGACCGGTTGTAAAGCTGGCCTCGTTTGTACGTCCGTGGCTGAGTGTGTGTTCGTGCTCTCTGTGGCAGCCACCCCTGGGAGACCGTGACAACGGCTGCCATGCAGAAGTACCCGAACCCCATGAACCCGAGCGTGGTTGGAGTGGACGTGTTGGACAGACACGTGGATCCTTCTGGAAAGCTGCACAGCCACAGGCTTCTCAGCACAGAGTGGGGCCTGCCTTCCATTGTGAAATCTGTAAGTGCGCTTTATTCCTGCAGAAATGTGACTGCTGGAGAGAAGTTTCTAAGCTGAATTATAATTTCAAATAGGTGGTGGGAGCAGACTCTGAATGTCATTTTTGCATCAGTTCAAATTGTATTATAATAAACTCGAGTTATGAGTGTATAATGAGTTGGAAATATTATTACAGTCTTCATGAAGGCACCTGTAAAACTTCTGAGGAAGCCAGCTAATGCTCGGTAATCTGGAAGGAGCTGGCTTCTACCTTCCCTGCTCTCGCCAGCACCTTATACCAGCAGTGGGATTTGGAACCAGGGGCCTGGGGGGTTGTCAGCGGACAGTCTTGTGGCCAGCAGGGGTGTGTGCCCGTGAAGGGATTGGCGTGCTCTTGGACTTGGCTGTTGCCACATCTGTTCTGAGGCCTGGTACTCCTCCCCCTACGTTTAAAAACATAACTCTCTTCAGTACAATTAAACGGGCTTTAGTGATTCAGTTTTTAACCAGCAGGAAACTGGAATGCCAGTTTAGAGTGGGGGAGAACTCTGGTGTGGTGAGTGGACCCAGTTGGCAGTAGAGGCTCTCTTTCTAGAAGGTTGGTCCACTCAGAAAACTGAAGTGCACAGTTTCCAACAGGAGGGCCCCGTGCACTTCCTTTGGACGGGCCACGGCATCAGGCAGTGAGAGCGCAGCGTGGGCAGGACGGGGGGCTGGCTTGGGGGTGGAGCACAGAGGCACTGGTACTCTTGACCTCCTCGTTCCAGATGCCCTGGTTCCCCAGACTCCCCACATCCCACATTTCAGACACAGTGCTTCCTGGCCACAATGTGGGCTCAGCGTCCTGCCTTTGCCGCAGCCGGCTCTGGTGGGCTGCCTGGGTGGGGGCACGGGGGAGGCGTTGTGTGGGGTCCCAGCTCTCCCTGGAGTGTGAGCTCTTACTGCTCTCACATGGGCCTCCTTTCTGCCCTCCATCTGATGGCTCATGTTTCTTGATTTTCACAAAACAGACTTTTTATTCAAGGCTTTAACACTTTTACTTTCAAGTAAAATATTGATATGCTTGTTAAGAAATCCTTTCTCCTCTTCTGGTTACTAATTGTGGATGTTTTTATAGCTTATTGGTGCGGCGAGAACCAAAACATATGTGCAAGAACATTCTGTAGTTGATCCTGTAGAGAAAACAATGGAGCTTCAGTCCACTAATGTAAGTCTCGGCTTCCTTTTGTTTCTGCTGTGCACTGTTTGGCTCACGTTTTTGTGTAGCTCTGCGGTGGGGTTAGGAAATCGGCGTCTGATGCGGGTTGGCCTCACCCCTACTCCTTCTGGGGACAGCAGCTACCATGACAGGCTTGGATGCTGTGCGTGTCATTGCTCTCGTGACACTTGTTCAAGTTTATTATTTCTTAATGAAAGTAAGCAGTGAATAGTGAAATTTAAATGCTTATTTACACAGTAGTATCAAAGTGGTTTATTTGTCGTTTTGTATATTTAGCTAGCAAGATTTAGGATTGTAAATTAATTTTGAAAATGTTTTTCATCTTGGTTCCCAAAATGATTTGTTGTTTTCTCTTTAATTTCTATAGATTTCATTTACAAATATGGTTTCAGTAGATGAGAGACTTATATATAAACCACATCCTCAGAACCCAGAAAAGTAAGTAAAAAAAGTTTTAACAAACTTATTTTACAGATGTTTTCATTCTCTTCCCAAATATTTCTTCAGAACATGAAAGTGAGGTCATTCTGAAGCTGTGTGAATGTGCTTTGTTCCAGGACTGTCTTGACTCAAGAAGCCATCATCTCTGTGAAGGGAGTCAGCCTCAGCAGCTACCTGGAAGGGCTGATGGCAAATACGATCTCTTCAAATGCTAACAAGGTACGTGGGACTGCCTCGGCCTGGTGCTGTTATTCCCGGGCTCCGTTCTCGGGAGAGCTTAGCGCTGAACCTGTGTTTGTCCTCACCCGCTGGCCGTCTGGGATGCAGTGAGAACCCACAGGTGGCCGCCTGGTGGGCTCTGGGGCCCGGCGTGCCCTGGTGTTCGTGCCCAAGCTCTAACTCTTACAGCCTTTCGACCTTGGGCCATTAAGTTAACCCTTCTGTGCCTCAGCTTACCACCCGTGAAGTGGAGACCGACTGCCCATCCTGCAGGGTCAGGCTCAAGAGCAGTGAGATAGCAGAAGGTATGAAGCCCAGGGCCCAGCGCGTGGGACGAGCTCGGTGATGTGCCGCCACGTGTCATTATTTAAAGCCTTGGCTTTGGCCATCATCGTCCCCTGTCCCAGGTCCATTGTTGACATTTTTTTCCTAGTTTCCCTGCCCCATGTAGCGGTGTAACACAACAGATAGATAGACAGACAGACAGATAGACATGCTGTATACATAAAAAAGAGTTGTTCCCCACTACCACCTAGCTAATTTCTGCCCCACTGAGAACATACGATTTACAACTAAGTTTAGACAAAAGGATACCTAGCGCACTGTTTTCTGACACATTTAGTGTAATCATTCTGCAGTCAGAAGATACTCACAGACGCCTTCTCTGTGCCAGGTAGAGTGCTAGGCTAGACTGGAGACTCAGCGGGAAGGACAGACATGTGGCCCTGCCCTTGTGGAGCTAAGGAAGGCACCACTAATCGCACAGCATATCGTTAGGAAGGAAAGGTACAGAAAGGTACGAGAGTGCTTCCGAGTGTCCACGGAGTGGCGTGTCTGCCGAGTGTGGAGTGAGGGTGGGTGGGGTGTGAGGGAAGTGCAAGAAGCGTTTCAGACAGGACCTGAGTGTGCAAGGCCCCAAGACAGGGACAGTGAAATGCTGCCTTTTCTTTTCTCCCAGGAACTGCACCGAGTGCCAGGAGAGGGTGGTCCAAGGGGCCAGGGCCAGAGCTTTCCGGGTGTGGGCTAAGTCTTTAGTTCAGACCTTGTATAGGATTTCGGTTTAAAATATGGACATAACAGAAAAAAGGGGCTTGTCCTCACCTCCAAAAGGGGGACTGCTCTAATCACTGTCATTTCATTAGAGACTCTTGGAAACATCTTTTGCACACAATATAAAAATCAGTTTGTAGATCAAGCCATTTATTTGTTCAAGGCATTTGATACTCAGTGAATAACATTAGGAAGAAGAGGCAAAGACAAAAACCACCGACCCTGGGGAGACTTAGTTGTACTTGGCAATGCTCCTGGCTGCTTCCTGATGTGCTGCTCATTCGATGCCTGCCTCTGCTCTCATTCGGTGACAGTAAGTGTGTTGGATTTTTTTTAAGGGCCGAGAAGCAATGGAGTGGGTGATACACAAACTAAATGCCGAGATTGAGGAACTGGCGGCTTCGGCCAGAGGCAGCATGAGGACCCCGATGGTGGCGGCAGCGTTGGCAGAGAAATGACGAAAGTTGGTGGGCAACACCCAGTTCTCCGGATCTCAACTAGCTGGCATTATATTTATTCATTATTTAAAAAATACAACTAAAGGAAAAAATATAGCTATATTTTAGGTAGAATTTTTTTAATAAGCTGAAGAAAGCCTGTGTGACTCCATAAAAACAGAGACACAGGATTTCTGAATAAAAGGGGACATCTGAAATTGTTAGTGTTCTGTGGGATGACTGGTCTTGAAGATTCCGGTATTTACATGAAAATTTAAGTTCTTGTAAAGTGCTTGGAAATTGGTGTTAGCTTATTAAGTCTCCTCCTTGTGGATTCAGAGCTTTGCACGCGCCGGAGCTCTACCGGGCTCTGCACCAGCCCCAGAACAAAGCAGAGCCGCCTCGAAACAGACCCAGTTATGCCTCTGTGGTCACCTCCAGGAGGGGTCTTGTGTTCAAGGGGAAAGTGGGATAGTTTTAAAAGAGATACTAAATCTGTATAAAATAACTTGCTCTGCTATAAACCACCATTAAACATCAGTGTTTTAATTTGGCACTTAAATGACATTTTCAGAGTGAAAATTACCACTCAAGTAAAACCCCAACAAAAGTAGGGTTTTGTTCTATTAAAGAGTACTGCATTGATTTGTCAAAGTTTTGTGACTTCGTGAAGTCATTCCCTTCCTTGGATTTGCACTTCATGAGTTAGTGTCTGTGTCGTGGGCTGGTTATGTTAACTGAAAAAATAAAGTCATTACCAGAATTTTGCAGCACTCCAAACTTAAACAGAAGAACAGCTGTTCACATCTTTTAGCATTTCACATTTGCCTAACTTATAAATTGCCATGTGTCAAAATCAAGGTTCTGTAATTGCTAAAGCATGGTATGTCAGGTTATTTGAATATAATTACTTTTTGAAGTAATTGTGACCGCAAAACATCTTTTTTACAGGAGGAGCTGTACATCATTTGAAATTACTCAAATGGTGTCTTGATCTGAGGCATAAATCCCAGTCTTAATGTTTAGAATGACACCTGACACCGTGCCACTGCAGGGGCTGCGGGCGGTGGGGGGAAGAAGAGCACAGTGGGGGGGGTGGCATTGACCTCGCGAACCGCAGCATGGCCTGCCTTGCGGCTTCGCTTCTTGAGGAATCCTCATTCAGGTGCCAAAGGCCAGCCGCACTCTGAAAACCATCAGTGAATGTATTTCATTCGGTGTTTTGTAGCAGTTAATTATCAACCAGTAAAAATATCTTTCATATTTGCAATTGTTGCTTAGAGAGTATTTTTGTTAAAAGGTGATTAGCTCTTGCCTTTATTTTACAATGCTTAATGTGATAAACTTCTAGTCAGGTTCCCTATAAAAAGAAACCAAGTAACATGTACATAAACCACAGAAATAGTATACCAAACTATGGAAAAGTTAGTGATTCTCTACTTAAAATATTAGCTTAGGACTTCTTAGGGCATTTGTAAAAACAAGTGAAATTCAATAACATATTTTATTATTTTTTTGTAACCAGAGATGGTTTTTACAGTTGAAATAACTTTTCAGCTAAACAGAACATTGCTAAATACTGATACTTAATTAAAAAGTTGCCTTGTTTAATTTCTGTAAATTATACTTGTTCTTAGAAAAGTGTAACGAATGCCCAGATGATAAAAAGATTTAACAAACTTTATTTTGTTTGATTTTTTGACTCTGATCGAATGATAACATTCTCTAAAGGTTTTTTGTTTTCTGCGTAGTCAGTTACTCCTTTTAGTTAATACCTGGTGGTTTGTGGCTTTGCCAGGTACATGCACAGTAAGCATGTACCTGTGAGAGGGCTTGGGCCGGAGTGTCTTCATCTGCTAGATACTAAAATTGGATCTTACACAAATTAAGAACCTTTCTGATTAATAAAAACTTCCTTTTAACTATGTTTTTTTAAATTACCATCTTATAAGATTTTACTTATTTTTAGAGAGAGGGGAAGGGAGGGAAAAAGAGAGAAACACTACCTCTCATATGGCCCCAATCAGGGACCTCATTTGCAACCCAGGTATTGTTACAGGGTACAGCCGGGGGGTGGGGCAAAAAGGGATTTGGAATGGGGTCTGGCACTCAGGGTGTCTAGGAAATCTTGGAGAGACATATAAGATGTCCTCACCCTTTCCCCCCACAGGTGTGAGTTGGGGGAAGGGACACATGGAACAAGAACATGCAGGGCTGTTTTGTACAGCCACAGCCTTGCAGCTAATCCATGGCCTGGTCATTTAACATACCTATAGGCTTTGCTGGGTCACTTGGATATGTTAAATAGCTGTGGCCATGCTTGGAGCTAGGGGGATGGAAGTCACTCCCACCCCCACGATGTAACTGGGGGTGCAGGTCCCCCGAGTTACAGCACCTGCATGGGAGCTTGGAAAGCATTGGCTCCAGGACATGGGGTCATATCTGCCCAGACTCATGATGGCAGCCCAGTAAACTTGGAATAATACAGGAATGCTGGCAGGTATAACTGATTGTAGGAGGGGGTACAGAGGAAGATTGGCATGGGGATTTAAACCCAGCCATTGTGGAGAGAGCCATGTGCTTTGGGCAGAGTGCAGACCCCCTCTTGGCTTTCCAAGAAGAGAGAGAACTACAAGGCTTAGCCAGAGTAGGGAACCCCCGCAGCCATGTAAGGAGAAAGAGAGTGCCACTCGACTTGGCCAGAGTGAGGATCCCCTCTTGGCTTGGCCAGGGTTTGAGCTGAGTGCAGACTCCCGCAGCTTTGGTAGAAGAGAACCATGAGGCTTTGGGCATTCCCTTTGGCCACCTGGCCTGGGAAGCAGGAGAGGCTCTGCCTGGAAAACAGGTACAAAGAACTCGTGCCAGTAGACTATGAGAAGGTGCCACATGGCTTTGGGTTAATTAGAGATCCTGCCTGGAAGGTGACACAGCGGACAGTGGTGGGAGCCTGGATCCTAGACTTTTGCCTGAGTTAAGGTACCCTCAAATTAGGGCAGGAGGAGAAGGGTGCATCTGCGGATATCCTAAAGGACTTTGATAATTTTAATGAAGACGTTAGGTTACTACTTTGTATAGCATTAAGTAAACATATCCTTTCCTTTTCACAAATTTCAGGCATTGAGAGATGTCTTTCCAAGAGGGCTGTGGACATAACGAACCTTGGCCCCTACTAATTCTATAATAGTTTCTTTCCTAACCAGGAATTGAACCCTTTGGTTTGACCTTTTGGTTTGAAGGCTAATTATTATCTTTTTTAATGTGAAAAGCAAAGTGAACACTTTCCCCCCACTAAGAACACACTTAATTGCCCTGGGCTCTAACCCAGCTCTGTTGCTGAGTTGAGGAACCTTCCCAAAACTTGATGCGCCTACGCAAAAGTTCCCATGTCCCCTGGAGGTCTCCCAACCCCAGGCTGATTCCCTGTGTTTGTATCCCCAGCCTCCCCGGCCCTTCAAAGGGCCACGGGCCCTGGCACGCAGCACATGGTTCTAAGGCCTTGGAAGATGTTAAGCCCGTTCCCTAGTTAACTGCAACTCTGGTGTCCTCAACGCCACATCAGGACCCCATTGGGTGCTCCGCGACACCAGCTTCAATTGTGGCTTCGCGACTCGGGGACCTAAAGCCACGCGGACTCAAGTTCCCTCCAGTACCTCTCTCTCTCTTGCCCCTCTCGCGGTGTCCCAGCACTATATGGGTACACACTTGCCCGGCCGGCACCCCGGGATTGGCACGTGCGGTCCGAGCTGCGCGCCCCCATTGGCTCTCGGCGTTGTCGGGGGAGTTCCGCGATGGGGCAGTAGGGGCTGTCCGATTGGGCCGGGCGGGGCCGAGGCGACAGGATTGGCAGGTCCGAAGTCCCGCCTCTTCCGCTTCTCAAGCCTGACCTTCCGGCAGCTGGGTCAAGCGTTGAGCCGACATTGACTCGTCCTCGCGATTCGGTCCGACAAGCCCACTCTCGAGACATCATGGTGGCCTACTGGCGACAGGCTGGACTCAGGTAGGCCCAGGCCTCGGGAGGGGCGCAGGAGGGAGAACGCAGGGCGGCCCGGGGTCGGAGGTCACGAGGGCGCGGCGGGGGTCGGCAAGCGAGCGCGCCAAGATGGCGGCCGTGCGGGTGGGGAGGCAGAGCTGAGCCAGGGGTGCAGGCGCGCTCGTGGGTGCTGTGCGCGCGAGACCCTGCCTGCCTGCCTGCCTCGGGGTGCAGATTTGCACCTGGCGCGACGCCGCTGAAGCCGTGAGAGTACACCCGCGACACTGTCCCAGAGAGAGCGTTTCTTAGGCCCAGGGCCTTTGCCCTTTTCCTGACACTCCATTGTAAAAGTGACAAGTGATGTAACACTTGGGAATTACAAGGACTGGGGAGAGTTCTCCCGAGGTGACCACTGTCAGCGTCGTCCGATATTTTCAGCGTCACAATGGGGCCATTCGTAAGGGTGCACAGTTTTGATTTCATTTTGCACTAACTCCTGTTGCTCTTACCTGCAGAGAGCCCTGCACACAGGTGGTCGTGGCTCATGGAAGCACAAATGCGGCACCCACTAGAGGACATAGCATCTAGTGTAACAGAAAAGACATCAGTTTAGGTTTCTCTGTTCCCTGTCACACCTTTTACCCAGTCGAGAGGGTATAGTGTCTTGCTCCAGGTGCCACGCCTTCTTACCTGCCTGAGCAAAGGGGCACCTTCTAGTGGAGGCCTGGAAGACACCTGAGCAACCCAGTGTTCCCAGCTTGTGAGGTCACGCAACGCTTTGCAGCATTGGGAGGAGAATAGTTCCAGGAGCGGGTTCCATTTATTAAGCACCTGCTGTGTGAGGGACGCGGTGACGCATGATCTTCACCCTTTGTCTCTCCTCCCACCCACTTGGTGGGGCAAGTATAATTATCCATCTATTTATTCTGTTGTTTCTCTGGGTAAATAAACAAGCTGAAAAGATTGAACAGTCTGAAGGTCACCCAAACAGTAAAAGTGGAAGCATTGGAACACCTACTTTTGGCCAAAAAAAACCCCCAAACCTGAAACATGAAAAAATAGACTGCAGCCCCCTTCCTGTTTTCAAAAAGTATAAAAAGTGAGTTGCCATCTTCTGGAAAATAAGATGTTGATGGGAGTCCATCCACCAAAGAGGAAGCAGGCTGTTAGGTATTTTGCTAGAATTGATGATGTTCTCAGAGGATGTTCCAGTTTAGTTTGGAAACATTGATGAGGAGGTATTTTTAATGGCAGAATCCAGTGTTCTTGGGAAAACCTTTAAATACTTAATCAGAGAAAGAACTCTCCATTCAAAATACTTTTTTTTCTTTTTAAATTATATATACTTATAAGGATAATACAAGAAGTTTTAAGTAGAGAAACGAGAGAATCCCTCCTGTTACAGGCCCCAATAACACTTTGGTCTATTTTCTTCCTGTCCTGCAGGGTTTTTTAAAACTATCTATGTGGGTTTTTTTAGTTTAAATTAATATGCATTAAAGAGGAAAAGTAGTATAAAGTAGAAAAACCAAAGACCACCCACCCTAACACCAAGATTCTGGTACATTTCTTCCTATTCGTCTTTTTCTTTGTGCAGATTCTTTTGGCATTAAGTCATTTCTAAATCCAGTTCTACAATAATGTACCATCAAACCAGAATTTAAAATATAGGGATTATCCCTGGCTGGTGTGTCTCAGTGGACTGAGGCCTGACCTGTGAAGCAAAGTGCCACTAGTTGGATTCCCAGTCAGGGCACTGGCCTGGGTTGTAGGTGGGCCAGGTCCCCATTTTGGGGTGCATGACAGGCAACCACACATTGAGGTTTCTCCCTCTTCCTCCCTTTCACTTTCTCTAGAGAAATTAATAAATAAAATCTAAAATATATTATTTAAAAACCAGTTGCACAACCAGTCTGGCTGGATCATTGTAATGAAATGCACATCGTCTCTTGTTTTCTCCCAGTTACATCCGATACTCCCAGATCTGTGCGAAGGCAGTGAGGGATGCGCTGAAAACGGAATTCAGGGCGAGTGCTGAGAAGACTTCCGGCAGCAGCGTTAAAATTGTGAAAGTGAAGAAGGAATAATGTGTAAGTTCTGACTGATTTGGAGGAGTTGCATCTTAATTATTTAAAGTACAGAAAAAAATCTGAAGTACTTTTAGTGTTGGGTTTGGGGCACTATGTGGTCAGTCGGTCCACGGAGCAGTGAGTGGGGTAATCACCTGAAGCACGCGGGGTATGCAAGCCCTGGGGCATGATCAGAGGGCGCCGTTTGGGGCCCTGACAAGCAGAAGTAATCGGCGCATTGATTTTCAGCTCATTTAGCAGTGCCTGATTAGAGAGCCATCTTACTTTAATGAAACTGGTTTCACTTGCACAAAGTCAGATAATTGGGAGGATAAACTCTCATTTTCGTAATTGCTGTTGGAGTTACATAACAGTTCGGGAGCATGAAAAATGACAGTTCTTTGTGGTTTTGTTTCCCCCACACCTGCCAGTGTTCTCACAAATCACCCCCTGAATGGAAGGGCTGCAGGTACGGGCCAGGGTCCTGCCGTGTGTCATGCAGCAGCATCCACGGGACCCTGCAGTGAGAGCCGCCGGGCTGAGTGCACCAGGCTCCCTGAGCACACGGCCCTCTCTCACTTGCAAGGGTGCCGGCAACCTAGAGTGACCTTCTGTACTGTGTGAGACCGTCACCGAGACTACAGTGCTCCAAACTGCTGAAGTGATTTGATCTCCAAATCACCTTTTGACAGTTATTTCAAAGATAAGGCAAATTACCAGAGAGATGTTTTTCAGATTTACTTTTCTTGCTTTGCTTTTTAACAAGCTTCAGACCTGCAGTAGCAGAGAAACGTAATAAATATTAATCCTTTGGCAGCTTGTGCTTATGAGCAATTTTACTTATTGGAACTGTCTCCCCTAAGCACTTTTCATTTTCATTTTGAATTAGTAAATATTTTATTATGAGTCTGGAAATGCGGTGTTTTGAATTCAGTCCTATTTCTAGGGGCTCTGTCTAATCTCTTAACTCTGAGTGATGGGGCCCGCTTCCGGGGCGGGTTGTTTGGTCTGCAGCGAGGGGCTGACGGAGACCAGCCCAGCCCTTCTCTGCAGCACCGGCTCCTGTGCCCTGTGATCGCCCCAGGCCCTGTGATCGCCGCTGGCTCCGTCAGCGAAGTGCTGAGCACTCTCCACGTGCCTCTGCTTGGCCCCTACCCTGGCAGCACAGGGGGATTTTAGTGTCTTTAAAGGCTGAGAAGTTGCTTTATTGCTAGGCGAGTGTTTGGTTTCATTTAGCGGGGAAACAAGGGCCTGTTCAGCTGAGGCCCTGCTGGGAGCCCATGTTCTTCACCGGCTGACTGAGTGAAAGCCACTTAGATAATTCATTGTAGAGACGTTCTCTTCCCCATTCACGTTGGGTTTTTGAGAAAACAGCGGACTAGCAACTTTTGCATTTTCTTTTTTCCTCCTAGACCCTGGTTAAAGCTTGAACACTGCTCTGTTTTCGAGGTGAAGATGTGTGGGCACGAGCTGTGGCAGACGGAAGGCAGCCTTGCTCCGTGGGGGGGACACCTGTCCCTGGATAGGTGGACGGTGCCAATAAACTGAAGTGCGGTCACTCGTGCTGGCGGTGGTGGCTTCCTTCGCGCCTCCTCCTTTCTGATGGGGGCTCTGGCGGCTGTGGGTGGTGAACCGGGGTCCTTAGGTGAGAGACGTGGCTTCAGTGTCTAGTGACCAAAGAGACCCAGGAAACCGTTTGAAATGTCTCAACCAGAAAGTTCTCTTTTCCACCACGTGAGCTGGCTAAGTCAGGCTCGTCATTGGGCCCTCGTTGCCCCTTATCTTTGAGTTGCAGAAGCCGAGTGAGAGCCGCTTGTCCCCTGGTGTGGCCCTGCGCAGGCGGCGGTCCCCGAGGCGGCGCTGCTTGGCCAGTAGGCTAAGTGAGAGTGATTACTAAACCCTTGATCAGAGGGGAAATACTGAATTGGGTATTCCTTTCTTCCTGCACACTTAAAACCCGTGGAGAAAAACTGTTATCGTTGGGATTGAAGCCCTGGAAGCCGCTCGTGGTATTGGGTAGATGAGTCTTCATCACCCTGGGCGTCGCTCACAGGGAGCGAGGCAGAGCCGTCCCATAACTGCTGCTCGAGTTGACGGCCGAGCTGCGGTTAAAATCCGAGGATCCTGACTGCCGTCCGGGGCCTGGGTTGCACGGAGACGTGGCGTTTGCGAGGTGATGCGTTCGGTCATTAAGCATTCGAGGGTGAGGGGTTGTTGCAAGTGTTTCGTTTTATCTTTGAAACTTGGAAGCACTTGGCTGAGTAGAGCCCCACTGCAAAGTAAGCTACTTGATTTTAACTCTTTTCAGAGAGTAGAGAAATAAATTTGAACAGGAAATTTTGAAACACTGTTCAGCCTGTGCACCAGGCCCAGTCCCAGTTCTCACCATGGTACTTAAGCTAATAGTCATTTGTCACGACCACTTAGCAGTGCTAAGGAGCCCAGAAAATGTCTTTGTTCTGTGCTCACAGAGACGACTTCCTGCCCCTGGGACACTTGACCTGTGGGTTTTATTGAATTCTCCCACAGGGCCTGCCAGGAGAAGCGGCAGAGTGATGGGGAGGGGCCGGCGCCAGACAGCCAGCTTCAGTGGCACTTGGCCTGGGGGTGTCGCCCGCCGTTCTGAAGTCCAGGCCCCGGGATGGTCAGGAGTTCCACAGTCACAGAAGTCGGAGAATCACCGGGCCGAGGGGCCTTTTTGAGAACCTGAGTGACCAAATGGCAAAGGGCTGAATAGTAATTAGAAATCATTTAGTAAGGGGCCAGATGTGAGACTTAGGGACCAGGCTTGTGACCTGGCAAGGATGACAGGAACCGAATAAGAAAGACATTCATTGCCAGCAAAAAGTTCCCGAGGCTCTTTCTCTAATTAAAAAGTGCCCTGAAATGACACCCGATGAGAAAACCTCTGCACCCTGCTCCGCTGGCAGGACTGTCCCGACCACCTGGACCCTGGTCAGGCCTGCTCGGGGTGCTCAGTCACTCGTCTGGGTGGCCAGGGGCTGTCGCGAACCCTTGGTTCTTGCAGAGTGCTCGGCCTGACTTGAAGGCACCGAGCAGGCTCTACAAGTCTGACTTCGCTGCGTCCATCTCTGAGAGACCAGTGTCCCCGTAGTAACCACACCACTAAAGAAATCGGCCCCTCAGACCCAGAGTTGATGGGTTCTTTTTGGTGTCTAGATTTGGGGTTTTGTTTTTTTTCTTAACTATTTCTACCATACGAAAGAGGAGGCTGGTGAGATGCACTTCGAAATCTTTCAACTAAATCAGTCTGGCTGATTAGACTCCGAGAAAAGGAATATTATTTAGTCTGAAATAAAGCAATTGGGCCATTTAAAATTGAGTTTCTTTGTAGTTTAATGATTACTACGGAGCAAACAAAAATCTTTATAGTAATGTAAGTCAGAACTTTCTTCCTTTTTTTTTCTGGCGACTCTCCCCCTGCACTTCCTTCCTTGCCCAGAGAACTGTACGTGAACGTATAAGCGTACAACTATATAGGGATCTGGGGTTAATTGTTCCCTTTATTAACTGGCACTGTAGCACGGACGCTTCTGTTCCTTAATCTTCTTGGTCAACAAACCTCACAGCGGAAGCAGTCCGACCAGGGCGGCCCTAGCTCATCCCGTCACAGCCCCACAGTGTCCCGTAGCCTGGGCCCCTCGGGACGCACTCAGCCGTTACCTACTCTGAACACTCCTTTCTCAGCGGAAGGAGTAGCGGTGCAGTAAACACACGTGCGCACCGGTTCTTGTGAACTTTCGTATTTTAAGAACCTGTTGTAGTCGGACTCTCACCAAAGTCTGTTTTTGAAGTAGATGTTAGCAGGCTGCATCCAAAGTCCCTGGAACAGTTCACGCCGCCACCAGCGGTCGATGCGAGTTTCCTGGACATTTCTGTTGACGACAAGTGTTAAGCTTCTTGATCATCTTTCCTGGTCGGAAGGAAAGCGTGAGTTCACATTGTTTTCTACATATTTGGTCTCTCGGATCTTGACTTTTCTGCAAGTTGCCTATTTATATCTTTTTGCACGTTTTCCTATTAGATTATTTTTAATTTTTGTATAAATTTGTAAGAGGTCTCTCTATATTCTTTTAAATACATTCTATTGATTATGCTGTTACACTTGTCCCATTCCCCCCCCCCGCCCTGCACACCCCCTCCCACCAGCATTCCCCCCTTTAGTTCACATCCATGGGTTGTACATATAAGTTCTTCTTACATGTACGGGCTTCTACATACATATAAGTGACTTCTGCATTTCCTGCACTACTCTTGCCCTCCCCCTGTCTATCTACTACCCATCATCTATGCTGCTTATTCCCTGTACCTTTTCTCCATCACTCCCCTGTTGCTAACCCTCCACGTGATCTCCATTTCTGTGATTCTGTTCCTGTTCTAGTTGTTCGCTTAGTTTGTTTTTGTTTCCATTTTAGGTTTGGTTATTAATAACTGTGAGTTTGTTGTCATTTTACTGTTCATATGTTTTATCTTTTTCTTAGATAAGCCCCTTTAACATTTCATGTAAGAAGGGCTTGGTGATGATGAACTCCTTGAATTTGATTTTATCTGAGAAGCACTTTATTTGCCCTTCCATTCTAAATGAAAGCTTTGCTGGATAGAGCAATCTTGGATGCAGGTTCTTGCCTTTCATGACTTGGAATACTTCTTTCCAGCCCCTTCTTGCCTGTAAGGTCTCTTTTGAGAAATCAGTTGACAGTCTGATGGGGACTCCTTTGTAGGTGACTGTCCCCTTATCTCTTGCTGCTTCTAGGATTCTCTCCTTCATTTTAATCTTGGCTAATGTAATGATGATGTGCCTTGGTGTGTTCCTTCTTGCGTCTACCTTCTTTGGGACTCTGAGCTTCCTGGATTTCCTGGAAGTCTACTGCCTTTGCCAGATTGGGGAAGTTCTCCTTTATTATTTTTTCAGATGAGTTTTCAATTTCTCGCTCCTCCTCCTCTCTTTCTGGCAACCCTATAATTCAGATGTTGGAAAGTTTAAAGATGTCCTAGAGATTCCTAAGCCTCTCCTCATTTTTTAAAAATTTATTCTGTTCAGGTTGGATGTTTCTTTCTTCCTTCTGCTCCACACCATTGGTTTGAGTCCCAGTTTCCTTCCCATCACTGTTACCTCCCTGTACACTTTTCTTTATTTCACTTTTCATAGCCTTCACTTTTTTCTCTATTTTGTGACCATACTCAACCAATTCTGTGAGCATCCTGATGACCAGTGTTTTGAACTGTGCATCCCATAGGTTGACTAACTCTTTGTCACTTAGTTGTATTTTTTTCTGGAGCTTTGATCTGTTCTTTCATTTGGGCCATTTTTTAAGGTTTTTATTTATTTTAGAGAGGGGAAGGGAGAGGAACATCAGTGTGTGGCTGCCTCTTGCACACCTGCTACCCAGTACCTGGCCTGCAGTCCAGGCATGTGCCTGGGCTGAGGATTGAACTGGTGACCCTTTGGTTCACAAGCTGGCACTCAAGCCAGTGAACCACACCAGCCAGGGCTGTTTGCCTTTTTAGATTTGAGAAGGAAAATACTAGAGGAAGTGTGTGTATACATTCTTATATAATCACAGGGCGTAAGTCTTCTCAGCATCTAAGGAAGTTAGGGACTTCAAAGTAAGAATGTACAGGTGCAGTTTCTTATTAACTTACTCTTTTTAGTGATTCTTGAAGCACAAGTAGAAAGTGTTTAAAACTTTTTTGTTTCATTCTGTAAATAGAGGCCACGATGCCCACAGCAACACGTGACTGTTCTGGCAGTTTTAGTCCTTTCCCCCGATGCATGCAGGAAAAGGGAAGTTTCTCAGAATGCGCTCCTTCATCCACCTGCCCGCTGCCTTATTATTGCAGATCAGGGAAGCTGGTCGGAGACAAGGCCCTGGGTGCCCAGCTAGTCAGTGTTCCCTGCAGTCAGTGTTCCCTGCAGTGAGTACTCCTTGCAGTGAGGGTCGCAGCACCCTCCCCTTCCGCCGTCCCTGGGCAAAGCAGGGCGGAGCCCAGCGGTAACTGCGAGGGCCCCGGCCGCCTGTCGGGATAGGTGAGCTGTAAGGAAGGGCTGTGGGCGGCTTCACTGCCCTGTGTTGCACTGTGTCCCATGGTGCTGGGAACAGATTAAAACCTCGTGGTGGTTTAAAGCTGTGTCATCGCGCCGACACGTGTGGCAGTGTCTGCAAACTCAGTACAGCGAAAGCTCCCTAATGAGTGGCATCCTCCGTGATGCACAAGGACACTGCAGTGGCCGCCACTCACTTGCTCTCTGTGAGTGGGAGGCAGTGACCCCGTGGGAGGGGCCAACCAAGAGGTGGGTAGGTGAGGTTCCAGGGCCCGCACGAGTGAGACACTGAGCACGCCAAATGGGCCACTCGGAACTCAGAGGGGACGACTGGACGGCTGGGCTTCACCTGTCCGTTTGGTCTCGGGTTGGGGCCTTGTCAGTGAGGGGAGGGCGGCACTTCCCCTCCCCCGCCCTCGTGGGCACTGCCTCACCTCGCTGGTGGCTACCCCCATGCCAGCCAGTCGCCTGGCTTTTCTAGAAGCCAGCGAGCA